GGGGTCCTATTGACTAACTCCTTGAAGAGATGGAATTTTGCTTTCCTGAAATTCATGGTCCTTGACTTTAGTCTTTACCTGGCCCATATACCTCAAGCCTGTGAACTCTACCAGTGTGTGATCACTGCAGCCCAGGCTCCAGTCTTGGTGTCACTGATTATCTCACTTGTATTGGTGACCATCAGGTCCAGTATTGCATCCCCTCTGATAGGGCTGTCTATTACCTGGCTTAAGAAATTATCCTCAATGAATTCTGGGAGTCTCCTGGATTGCATGTAGCTCACTGTACTACTTTTTTCAGCAGATGTTGCAATGGCTGATGTCCCCCAGCAGGATAAGAGCCTGTAAGTATGAAGCCTCCTGTTGCTGGAGCAAGAAGACTTTGTCAGCAGGCTCCCCTGGGAGCCTGTAGCAGACACCAACCACAAGGTTCCCTTTGTTGCTTCAGTTTCTGATTCTTATCTGTAAGCTTTCAACCTGCCTATGGCTGTTCTTCAAAGGCAGTTCCTCACACTCTATCCATTTCTTGCAATAGAGGGCAACACCTCTACCCTTCCTTCCTCACCTGTCTCTTCTGAACAGCCTGTAGCTATTGATAGCCACACTTGTAGTCATGAGACTCGTCCAACCAAGTTTCAGTAATGGCAACCAAGAAAAAGGAAAAGAAAACTGTGCCGTGGCAATTGTAGCCAGAGAGAGGAGTGAGAATACGTGAGAAAAACAACTCTGCAGACACCAGGGTCAGTGAAGGAGGTGCTCCAGGTGCTAGAGCAGAGATTCCCCTGCAGCTTGTGGTGAAGACTGTGGTGGAGGAGGTTGTCCACCTACAGCCCGTGGAGGTTAACAGTGCAGCAGATATCCACCTGCAGCCCCTGGAGGACACCATGCTGGAGCAGGTGGATGCCCAGAGGAGGCTGTGATCCTGTGGGAAGCTCACACTGGAGCAGGCTCCTGGCAGAACCTGTGAAGAAAGAAGTCCATGCTAGCAGGTTTGCTAGCAGGACTTGTCACCCTGTGTGAGGGACTCATATTGGAGAAGTTCATGGAGGACTGACCCCACGCTGGATCAAGGGAAGAGTTTTAGGAGTCCTCCCTCTGAGGAGGAAGGTGTGGCAGAGACAATGTGTGATGAACTGACCACATCTCCCTTTCCTCATCCCCCTGTGCTGGTGCAAGGGAGGAAGTAGAGAATTTGGTACTAAAGTACTTGAGAAGAAAGAAGGGGTGTGGGGAAGGTGATAGAGGACTTTTTTTTTTTTTTTTTTCTCATTACAGTACTCTGATTTGATTTGCAATGAATTAATTTTCTTCAAGCCAAGTCTGTTTTGCTTGTGATGGTAGGTGGTGGAGGATCTCTCCCTGTTCTTATCCTGACCCATGAGCTTTTCAAGATATTTTGTCTCCCCTGTCCAGCTGAGGAAGGGAGTGATAGAGTGGCTTTAGTGCATACCTGGTTTCCACTGAAGCTCAACCCGCCACAGCCTGGGTGTTATGCAGCATCATCCCTTACTAGAAAGGTAGTTGTCCATGCATGCTTAGAGAGACTTCTTTCCAGGTATTGTTGCTTGTTAGGAAGTTCATTCTTGCTCTTGAACTCCAGGCGAAAGAGTTACTTTTTTTTTTTCCTTGGGACAAGCCTGTCCTTAGCTATGTGCTTGCATTTTGCTCAATACCAGTCAAACCTTTAAAACAGAGGAACAGGAGTTTCATCTAGTGAAGAAAAGGTGTCAAAACAGAAAATCAGAAAGTGTGAGTAGAACTCTTTAGATCAAGCTTACCTGTGTGCTTCAACTACATCAAGAGTTGATGAACTATCCCTTGGGGGAAGCTGCTCCTTGATGCTCTTCTCTCTCTCCCTGTTGAGTATGAAATCTGCTGTCCTTTCACTTGCTTACCTTATTCTAGCCTGGGTCATATTGTTTTTTGAGTGTAAATATGTAAAATGTGCAAGCCCCTTCTCCCGTTCCTTAGAATCTTCTGGGAGTTTACAGTGCATCTTTGGACTTCGTGAAGGATGTGTTAAGTAGTCTTCCTGCTTGTAGGGATTTCAAGGCTGATACCAAATTTTTAAAGTAAAATAAAAAGCATTCACAGTAGAAAAATCTCAAACCACCTTTCACTGTTAGCTCTTTGTGGAGATTAAGTGAACAATAGTAATTACATGGATGTCAAATTAGTATCAAATATATTATCCTCCAGCATTTGTCATGTTCATGGACTCTAATGACTTCTAGCTCAAGAACACAAGAAGAATGAATTCTTCTAAATCACAAAAGTACTTTTCTCTGTACCATGCAGAGGAACTAGCATAACAAAACAGCCTCTTCCAGTCTTCTGGAACTGGATCTCTTTCTCTTGATCCTTTGAGTCAATTAAAATAATTCCAACAGAGGCAGATTTTCAGACTTTTCACTCGCTTGTAATAGCTCTAATAATCTTACTTAGAGCAGAATGGAAAAAGCAAATTGAACTCTGTGGCACATTACAGGAGAGCCCTTGTGGTAGACCAAGTACTGCTCTCTGTAAGCTGGAATTTCATAAAGTTGACACAGGCCCCATTAAAAACTGGCTTGCTGACAGATCTCAAAATTTAGTTGTCAATAAGGAAATATCAGTGGTCAGGCTATCTCTGCTGGGTGCTCGTAGGAAAGTCTTGATCACGAATAATGATATTTGGAATGATTTTAGCAATGAATTTTTGTAGTAAATTTGGCAAATGACACAAAGGCTATTGGAAAGGGAGAGGCTGTATATAAAAATACAAAAGAGGGATACAAAAATTGAGAGGAGGGAAAAATAAAAGGAGGGGAGGAGAAGGAAACCTGTGGGTCATATTTCAAGTTCAGTGATTCTGTATATTAAAGCAGTGATTTAGGGGAAAACTAAGATACTTTGTGTAGTAAAAGATTGTAGCTATGCATCCCCTGACCATTGTCCAGCGATAACTCCCCTTTTTAAAAGGAACACAAGAAGCAGAAACCTGGAAATTTTCAAGCAGCACTGATAGCACTGTTATAAAAATTTCCAGTTTAAGTGTCCACATTTCAGAATGGATCAGAAGACAACAGAGCAAGTTCAGAAGTGAAAGCTGAACAGGTTTTGTGTGGGTTGCGTTTGCAGTATGCACTATGAACTCTTCTGCTTACTGAAGGCAAGTTTCAGAGGTGACCTTAGTCACTGTGTGTAGGTACTTGCATCTGAAGGAGAGGCTTGATATATGGCTAGGCAGTGCTGAATGTTGGAATCAAAGACTTGAACCTCAGAACAAAACAAGATTTCCTAACATTAAGGAGAATTAAACATTTCCTACTAATATGGGGAAAAAACAGTGGATTCAGCATTGCTTGAGCAATGAGACAAGATACATTTAGGTACACCTACTTGTTTTCTAGTCTAGCAGTGGGGTTACTGTTATATGGATAGATAAGATTGCAAAATTAAAGGAAGAGGATATCTTTTTGCGGGATATGTCATATTTAAAATATATGTATGTGTACATACACACATACTTTACATACTTTTTTTTACTCTGATTTTTTCACTCTGGTGATTATGAGGGACATCAAATGACTCTATGCTCTGTGGTTGTACAGAAAAACCTTTGTGCAGCCTCACTGGTATGTCTTACTTGCAGGCCTAGGGTCACACCAGTAATCGGATTCATAATCAGGGAGAATTTCCTCCCAAGTGAGATTATCAGGGAAAAGGTATTTTAGGATACTTAGGAAATGTATCTTGCCTGTCATTGTAGCTAACAAGGGTGTTAATAATACCCTGTTTATTTTTGTGTGTCTGAGTTTTAGATTTTTGAGATTTGAAGAATCCTCTTAATATTTTAGTTTATAGATCATGTTGGCAATGTCTGATGGTTTGTAGTATAAATAAATAAGTTCTGATGTCCCAGGGTCCCTCTCCTATGAAATGAAGTGCCTTTTTGTTTGTAACTTCCCCTTTTTCCATCTGCAGATGGACAGAAATGCTTCATTTTAATGTGCCATATCATGAAAGAAAAACCAACAGAGCTTTGTTATTAACCCTCTTCATTCCGTTGGGGACTAAGGCATATGTCCTATTGTATTCACATTCTGGTTCTCCAGTACAAGCTAGAAGAAAGTACTTGGTAAACTGATGATGTATCTGGACCTATTTCATTTGGACATTTTTCCCCTATAAACTAATTAGGAGGAAAAAAATTAATTATCAGTGTCACCTGTACGTCAGATGAGATGTTCATGGGAAGTCACTTAGACTTTGTACACTTCTTCAAGAGCACTCAGTAAGAGAGTATGTCCTGCAAGAGAATATATTTTTAAAAGAGTTAATTTTTGTATGCACAGCGAGAGTGATTTCTCTGTTTTGAAAGAAAAAATAAGTTTGGAAATATTTAACTTTTAAATTATTTTCACTTGAGGAACTTTCAATTTGGTGTTTGAAGCAGTGTATTAATCAGGCTTATGAAAGGACATTAATAATCCTTAGGCGTGCTATAGTTGCATGACTTGAAGAAATCTGTGGTGAAAATTTATTTTATTTTTGTTACACATTTTCAATAGGAATAGACAGAAAACATTGCATATTGATTCTTTACAGCTGATAAACCCATCTACTCCCAGACCTCATGGTTGTACAGCAATTTTTTCCAAATGTGTTTTCTGCTTATAATTAAATTTTTAAGTCGGAAGATAGTTTTTTGGTTGTGCTTTTTTTTTTCTTTTACTTTACTTTTTATGCCTTTGTACCTATCTTGTATCTGTTCACAAAGCACAAGTGGAGAATGCATTATGAAGTAAATATTCATGCTTCTAATTCTAACAATTTGTATGGAATAAGGGAGACAAATCATACATGACCTTCACAGAATGAACAAACCAGAGATATAATTATTCTGAATCTAATAAAGAATATCAAATTTATTGTTGTTTTAGTAAATAGGTTAAATTACGCTAACAATGTACAGAGTTAATGAAATATTTAATTATTATGGTTGCTGTTTTGTTTAGTGAGAACTACAGTAATTGAAACAGATGTCTATGTTAACAGCATTGGCCCAGTTGACCCAATCAATATGGTAAGTTCTGATTATTGACAGAAATATTATTGGAATGATGTTATGGTTTAGTATTATGCAATCATTCTAATCTCATTAAAATACGTTTATTTCTTACTGTATATTCTTATGCTGTTGGATATGATTGTGACTATTGCAGAAACTTGTTTAGAGTCTATTTGAAATTGTTGTAATTTAAAAAATTTATTTTTTTTTAAAAGAATGAGGCCACATAGAAGACTTAGTATGAAATTTCACTGTTTGTTTATACCTGGTTTATCTCTGACCCAGTATAGTTTCCTGGAGCTACTCTTCAGAGGTTAAGAAAAATAACAATTGACCCAGCACTGTTACTAAAACTATTTTCAGTGCAGTGATTATTGCTATTCTTCAAAATCCTAGAAAGAAAAATTTGAAATGATCTCTTTTGTCCTCCTTTTTCTGTGTCTTATTTAGTCTTATGGGTCCTCTTCAGTGTGTGTGTGTGTACACAGCTGGTTTCTTCAGAAGTTAAGCAGTTAATCTCATCTGTTTCTGATAGATCTGTTGAGATCTGACTTATCTTTTTGGTACCAACACTGAGGTAATAGCACTTGTGAGGAAGTTGAGTTTGTGACCTTCTCTTAGATCACTTAGACTTCCTTTCAGAATGTGCATTTAATGAAATTGTGGCACTGGAAGCTTTAGAAAGATGGTGTTGCATGACTGTTTCTGAGGATTGTTGCCCAGGACTAAGATGGGGACTGGACCTTGGGCAAGTTTGAGCTCAGACCCCCCCTGCCTTTTATCTTTTTCTCCTCTCTGAAGAATTGCTGGCAGTGTTGAATTTGCATGGGAGAGGAACATTTTTGTTTTTCAGTTTGAGGTTGGAGTATGCCAGGTCAGAGGGCTTCTGAGTATTAGGTGAAAGCACAGTAATTCTAGATTATTATTAAGAATCTTGTAGTTTATATGTATGTCATCATGCCTGAGTGGGGAATATTGACTTTCAGTGACAGAAAGCCAGGCAAGAAAAAACAGTGGTACCTAGATACTATGGGTAAAGGTGCCAAAAGTAGATGATGCGGATCTGTGTCAAAGGGTATTCATTCCAGCTTAGTGGTCTAACAAGCTTAAGGTTGTCATTACTTGGGGCTGTGGCAAGGAAGTCCATGTCTCAGGCCAGGTCTGTACCTAAAGAAATGCATGAAAGAGCAGAAGAATGATAGGGGTGGGGAACACTTTTCAGTTTTCACGTCCAGTGTAAGTAGTGTCCTTGGTTTTGTCTGTCTTCCTACTGCAGCCTTTCTCTTTTGCTTCTCTTATTTGATACTCTTCCAAAGGAACTTCTTGTGGGAGCAAAATGTGTGGACAGGCAGCTGTCTGCAATGAGGATATAGCAAATGGTAGAGGCTTCCTTTTCCAGTAACTAGTGTAAGTCCTTCATCCTGTGGCCAGTAGTTATTGCACACAGTGGAACTTAAAATGAGAAGTGCTTCAGTTTTGCAGTTGTAAAGAAGCAGCAACTGTCTGGCTTTGCAAGGTAGCCCTGCTCCATTTCTCATGCCCTCTTGTATCTGCAGCCCCTGGGCAGTCTCCCTTCTGCTATGTACTGTGGCCTCTCCTGTGCCTTCAGCTGCCTTCTGCTTGCTCAGCCCAGAGCCTGGGAGGCAGCAGTACAGTGTGCTGCACTTGCAGTGGTGCCACTATCAGCTATGGGACTAATTCATGTCACTTGTTTAGAGGTCTCCCCACATCAGCTCGAGCTGACCTACAACTGGGTGGTAATGCTCCTACAATGGTGCTAATCAAAGCTGGTTGTATGGGCTTTTAGTCCAAGGTAAGGATAGCTCTGTATTGAAAAGACATATTACTCTATTAGAGAGCAGGATCCTAATGGTTATAATGGGTATCAGCTGAATGTTTAACCCTCTAAACTTCTGGTTTCTGTTAGAAAAAAGAAGATAACAATAAATCATCCCACCAAAAGGTGATAAGATAAATGTCATTATGACACAGAACTTTAAAAACTATTCTATGTTTTTTGAAAATGGGCAGAGAACTACTTAGCAATTGAAATTGTATTCTAAGGGCACTGTGGCCTTCATAAAAGAACAATTGCTTTCACTGGGTTTGGACTCCAGGAACGTGGATCATAAGAGCATCTAACATCACTGCAAAAATCAAATGTTTGTAAAAGTAAATAAAACTACATATATGCAGATAATTTGATTAAGGTTTCGAAAAAATATGGTTTTAATTTGGGAAACAACATTAACATTCTCAGGAAAAAAAAAAGTTACAGATTTGACCTTAGAAGCTCTCTTTATATGAACTGCTGATTTCATTAGGAAGGCACTTTCCCTGGAGTCAATATTATTTCAGAATGTTAACCAATAATCCAGAAATTGCTTCCATTTCAAGGGCTGTCTCAGCCCTTCATTTGATCACTTAATGTGAGAACACATATCTGTGATTCCCCATTGGATTACTCATTTGCCAGATACATTAATTCACTCTGGCAAATAATTTCCTTTAACTATTTAGTTTGGATACAATATAGCATGATGTAGAGAGCATTTTTTCCAACAATGATGCTGAAGCAGCGTATCAAGGGATTACATCTGAAAGCTTCAGGGGACTTAAAGTATGACAGGAAATGTATTTACTCTTATAATTCTTTCTGTTTTCCTGTTGTTATCTGACTGTATTTCACTTTCATAAAAGGGACAGTTTTAAGTGTATGTATGACATTCATTAGCAGTTGTTTTTGAAGGCTGTTATGTTCTGACTTTCACTATTTAACACAGATCTAGATAAAATTCTAGATGGTATAAACACCCCATGCTTAAGATAATTTTTTTTTATAGCATGTGATCTCTTTAGGCACCTGCAACCTGAGTGAACATTTTTAACAAGGATCTGGATCAGCAGCATATTTAGGCTTCTAATACTCATTAAGTCTAAAGGTTTTTGAATCTGTCTTTTGGAGCTAACCTGTGCGATACTTTGTGCAACAATCATGTAAAATGTAGCTAAGTGCATTTTTATGGCCAAAGGCTTGATCCTCAATAGCTCTGCAGTGGTCTAGGGATTTCTCAGCAGAAATTAGACATGCAAAGGATATTTAGAGTCTAGTTTTCTTCTGTGTGGAAGCTCATTTGGTTCAGCACTTAATGTAGATGTAATAGGCTTTTACCACCTTTCTCTTTCCTTCCAAACTAGGGTCAAGATGAAAAAATATCCACTATAGTGGTACAAGTAGCAGAATCTGATATATGGTCTCCGTGTAGAAATTCATGTTGATCCATGTTGCCTATGGGCCTCATTAGCTTTCTCTGCCCTGTGTTCATCCCCTGAACTCTGTGTTCATAAACACAGAACATTTTGTGCTACTGGTGCCCCAAGGAATCTAGGGGAGAACCATGGCAGTACCACAGCATGGTTTAACAACACCATGCAAGTGTGCAATACTGTGGATTGGGAAAGGCATGACAGCCATCCAAGACATTTTTACCTTTCTTTAACTAAGGGAGTACCTGGTCTTGTGATTTCTGTGTGATCAGATTTCTCACGGCAATAAAAGGCTGGTATCCCAAATAAGATAAATTCTGGGGAAAGGAATACAGGAGCAGTTCCTTAAGCAAGAAGCAGTATTTCATCATTGTATCAAAAATGAAGAGCAAAGAGACAAATTTATACTTTTGCTGTCCTTAATGTCTATTCAGTCAAGTTTCATATAGTAAAATGGAACAATACTCAAGTAATGAAAATGGAGAAAGTGTTAGAAAGAGGCAGATCATTTCTATAGAGATGCACAAACATCATGATTTATAGATCAAAAAATAGCCAAAGAAAATGTTCTGTCTGTATCTGTAAGTCTATACGTACATAAATATGTATGTTTAGAGAAACAAAATTAAGGTTTAAAATTCTTTTTCCTGTTTCTAAGTCACAATTTAGTGTTTTGAAACATTACGGTATCACTGCTATTTTAGTGTGAGGGCTACGTATTTTTTTCTTCCCTTGCTGTGGATGCAGAGGATACTCTCTGTTGAGCTTCTGTATGTATTAATGAACTTGGTATAAGAAGATCCAGACTGAAAATTCCAGGATAAATTTCTAGGACTGCACTTCACTGAAGCAGATTGGTTTCCTTGTTATTTTTCTAGTTTTTTGCCTTCTGCACATGAGTTGGCTTTTGTTGCATGATCTTTCCTAGTTATGCATTGAAGGCTACTGTGACTGCAAGCTGAAGGCCACACTTTGAAGCCTAGCACTCTTATTTTTAACAAGAGAGCTAAACCACTGAGCAAATCAGATATTCACAGAATGCACAATATGCTGCTTTGGTACACAGAATGCATGGCCCTGGACACTTAGGATACAATTTTTCCTGTCTTATTGTACTATTTGTGACTTTATGTAGAACGTACTGATAGCGAATTTTAAGTATCCTTTGATTTCTAAATTCCATTTTATTCTTAAATTGCAGTAACTAGCTCTGTTGTTTTTTTTGTTTGTTTGTTTGTTTGTTTGTTTGTTTGTTTTTTTTGTTTTGTTTTTGGTTTTGGTTTTGGTTTTGGTTTTGTTTTGTTTTGTTTTAAGGTATTCAAATGCCAGTGTGATGAGTATCCTAATACAGATAACTCAGAGTTACTGTACTTGAGGATGCTTTGTGGTCAGATGTATCGCTGCACTTATTCTACTAGTCACTGAATTTGTTTTGAAGGTTTGAAGGCTTTGTATTCTTACATTACAGTGCCAGGCAATTTACATTAAGCACACTAGAATACAAGTAATCATGACCCAAAGATACATTATCTGAAACTATCCTGAAATCCAGTAGTCAAAGTTGCATGCTCTGTGTATGTTATTCTGTAAAGCAATGTATTTTTAACTCTGTTTCTCAATGAGATTAAATACTTTGTTACTGAATTAATAGTAACTGGCATAAAGGAAAGGTGAGGCTTAGACAGACAGCAATTGATACTGGAATGAGCAAGGCCCTGATTCTGCAAATATCTGGGCATGTACTTCAA